GGCCCCAGTTAGCAAGGCCCAGAGGGCCTTGCCCTCTAGGGGGTTCTGGGGGCATGCCCCCCCCAGAAAATTTTGAAATATTATACTCTCAGAGACGCATTTTCCTGCATTCTGAAGTACTAAATGGTAAATACGAGACTTGTTGAAAGCATGGCAATTTGTCACTTTATTGGGTTTCCCTAAAAAAAAGAAAAAAAATCGTTTTTGCTATGTTTAATACATAGTTACAAGAAGAAATAAGTTAGTTAAAATACCTTCCTGAATAGTTTGAATGCCTTCATCCGTTGTGTCTTCATGATCTGGAGTGGGAACTTTGTTTTTGATGATGAAGATGGTGGATGATGGAAGCTCCCCAAAGATATCTTCATCCACCTAAGTGCCGTCTTCAGTGATGATCTCAACCTCTGAATTTAACTCAAGTTTTTCTTTTCCTGATGTGAATAAAATTCAATGAATATTATTAAACATTGCATGTCTTCACTTGTATCTGAATATTCTATGTTTTTTTATACGAGTCAGTATTTTATTATTGAAAATTGTTACAAGCTTTTTAAATATTTCTCTACCTGCAAAATATTAACTTGTTTAGGGGGGCAAACACGGCAAAATTAATACAGTGAATGTATGGGGAAAATAGGGAGTTTGATGCGCGATAAAATGAGGACCGTTGACACTCTTAAATTTTTGTGAATTGCAAACTAAAGATACTAGCTAAAAGAGTTTACCGATTAAATTTGAAGGGGATCGGTTGTCTGGGAAGCCAGAAATCTTACTTTTAGTTTTTCATACAAATGCTTATCAACAATTTCCCGTGAACGGCTGTTCCAATTTCAAACGTATATATGAAACCGTGAAAGGGTCTATCGAAGGCGACGGTTTCACAATCGACAAGAACAGAAAAGCTGTGGTTGTTTTTTTTTAATACAGCATACAGCTTCATAATTTTTGAAAAAAACTCATCCAACGACTATTTGAATATATGTAAACAAAGACGATCTCCAAAGGACGAGGAGACTTAAATATATAAATATTTATAATCTGCGACTGCAGCATTCTGTCACGCCATGAACTTAAGAAATTTAAGAAATGATAAACGTGCAGCGTGCAACCATGGAGTTATGGATGCACGCGGGAGGTTGCTAAGCACGAAAGAAGCGTAAGAGTCGCACGAGGCGATAGCCGAGTGCGACTCTAGCTGCTTGAGTGCTTAGCAAACCTCCCAAGTGCATCCATAACTACATGGTTGCACAGCTGCAACGTTTACCATTTCTTTTATAACATAATCAAAAGAGAAAAACATTGTTTTCCATTTGCCTTCAGTTGAGTCATCGGTCGGAGTTCATGTATGCTGCCATCTGCCCGCGCGTAAACAAATCATGTTCTATGTTTTTCAAAAACTTGCCTTTGAGTTTTTCTTTCGCTGAATCAGCCGTTCTTCGTCTTCAGGTAAATTGCAAAACGTTTTTTGTTGTTATTGTGAATGGCATCTGTCTACTTGCTCTTAATATTAGGGTAAAAACTTTGAGGGGAAACTATATCTGCAACTATAAACACCAACTAAGAAGACTCTAAAAAATAAGCTAAAACTAAATAAATGAAATAATTATCAAGCTTATTTATGTGACAATTTTTGAAATAAACGTAAAGTAGAAATGAGAAAATTTGACAGTAATTCCCTTAGAATAACAGGTAACACTAATTTTAAAAAGAAATTAACTAGCTTTGTATCGAAATCTGTCTGGGGAAATCCAGCTATGAAAGTCAACTGAAATTCGCTGACACACAGCCGGCGCTGAAGCTGTTGTTTTTCGACTGTTCCCTGAACGACTGTTATGAATGAACACTGAGGAGCAAAATAATACACACAGAAGTTATTTTTTGAAAAATTTATTTGAAAACCCAAATGTTTCTGTACTTAAATGAAATTTGCTTATTCCAGAGTTATGTGCCCGTTTAAACTCAACTAAAATTGTTAATCGATGCGATGAAAACTTCACAACAAAGCTGTCTCGAATTTGACCGTGTTTCCTAAAATATTTGCTTGAATTTAGCATCAGCTTGACCAAAAAGTCAATAACACAATGGTAATTGATAAATTTACATTTCAAACAGACTTTCTCCTCTATAAAAAAAACACACAAAATGTACCTTAAATCTTCGCTCGCTCGATTTTCCTCCAGCCGATTCTAGCCGCGAGGAAAACAGTGATTACATTCATCCAGGGCAAATTTGTCGCTTGATCTTTTGTCTTTTCTCCTTCAAAACGACAGCTTAGTATTTTCTTCACCTTTCACTTTTCATCTGTGCATGTCATCGGTGTATTTTACCGTCAGGAGAGGAGATTTGTTGAATTTGCCTAAATTTTACCGCACGAGCTCAGTTTCTTAGCGTGCACCCACAGGCAAATGGTAGTGGCTAACTGACCAATCACAGCGGGCGATTTACTTTTGTTATGTTATAAAAATGAATGAACAGAAATCGCTTACCTTTTGAAACAAGTTCAGCATAGTTTTCGGCCACCACGAACTTTTTCTTTGACCAGTCCTCACTCCAAACTTTAAAATGGACCTACAGGAACAGAATAAACACATTTGAAGGTCGCTCAGTTGGCATGCTCACTTGAGTGGAAAATATGAATAATTCAAACAGATGAAGAGACTATAAATCAACACCTATATCATGAATATTCAACACCTATATCATGAAAAGATTAGCATAAAAGAGATCACTGTTTTCTTCTGGAAAATATTTTCGCTGTGTTAGCGAAGGATGACTTCAAAAAGGCACAGATTAAACAAAAGAACGTAAGACACATTAACCTTCTTTCCCGATGCCATTTTGAAGCCGTTCCAGAGTGTTGTGCCCCGCTAAAAATCCCCGCTCAGTTTGACAAATTCTTACTGTCCCCGTCCTCCCGGGGAAATGCAGCGTTACAAAGACGTTACTCCACAGCTATGTCCCTGTTACTCCCCCGCTATGTCCCGGGGATCGGGGGGCAATGGTTTACATTGACTGGTGCATAAGAAACCCGAGAAAACTTTAGAGGATAGTCACATAGATACTCATCATCAACGGGCACATGTAAAGCTTGTCCGGACGGATGCATATAAGAATTAAGAACTTGCTTCCCTTACACTTGACATTAATATGGATGACAAAGCCACTGTAAAAGCTGATACTGATGTTGGTTGGTATGGTACGAAAGGAAGAGGGATTCTCATGTCAACTGAGAAACCGCATCAGTACAAAGAGCATGACTTTGTCGGAGTGGAGAATCAAGTAACACCCAGTGCATTTAGAGCAATGAAATGGACTGTAAGTGATGTTGATGAGAAACCAACCTTGGTTTGTACCTTTGACCAGTCCTTTGTAACAGTGCGACCGAAAGGTAAGAAGCTATTGGGATCATCAGGAGCAGTGTGGGCATCCGAACAGATACGCCTGGTAGAAGAATGTCCCACTGTCTTTTGTCTTCCAACTTCGCTGCATCCGAGCTTGAGTACATTTTTACTAAGAGTCCAACACCATTGTTTTCTGTATCATTTTTGCACGGAATATGTAAATGGAGATATTCTCACACAAGAATTGCCTTATGAAGAGGAAAGGAAGACCACTTTACACAATGGACTAAGTGCTGCAGTAGAAGACTTTCAAGTCAGCCTTAATGACATTCTCCATCACAGAAAGAAAGCATTTCATCTATCTATCAACAAGTAGAAGATCTCAAAAAGAAACTGGAGACATGCCGTGTTCCTGAGGACATTAAAGGCACCAACGAATCTTGTAAGAAGCTTTATGATATAATGAGACGTTTCCCAGAGCGACCTGTACCATACCCCAATGTCTTAGAATTGACAGACAAAGGTCCTCGAGCAGGTGTCCATAATATAGAAGTCCAGGACTTGTTCCTTCTGGTGTGCCAGTTGCTTGAATCAGACCATCGTATTCGTCGCATAGGGCGCCACATGACTCGGCGCAGAACGAGGCAGAACGCACTAATGCTGCAATTGGAGAAGCTCTTACGAAAGGAAGTCCGGTCGCCCCAGCCAATGACCCTTTTCATGGGCTTCCTACTGCAGAATTGGAAAGAATGTGCTTGAAAGACATAGAACAACACTGCATTTCCTGGGAGGAAGCAAATACTTGGTCAATGGCCAACCAAATTGCACAGCGCATTCATGACGAATCGGGTCCTTGAAAGAATGTATTCCTGATCTCCCTTGCCAGCTACCATCTGGAAAGTCACATCCTGCTTCATCTCTCGAAGTACCTTCTTAAATGGAGGAAGGTTTCTCCACGGCAATGACACAAAATATGCGGGAACGGAGTTTTTTCAAAGCTTCAAAAGATGAAAGATGCCGATGTGAAGCAAGGACAATACTACCTTGAGTACTTGAAGTTTTCATGTGACCCAACCTGCGATGAATGCGAGGAAGAAGGTTGGACAGGTGGCATTCCCATTACACGATCTCCATTGCCAGCCCTTGATCCGTCCTCGCCAGGAAAGTATCTCCCAGTTGATGAACCTCGTTTGGCTCCAAGCGAGGTTGACAGTATCCTTCCTAGTGTACAAGTGAAGAAGATGTTTGTTGAAAAGAAAGTGACCTCTTCTGATAACCAGGCCATACGGCAAGCATGCTTAAAGCTTAACATCGACGAAAGTTCTTGGAGAAGATATCTTCGGCACCTTGAATTCTTGGCTCTAAAAGCAGACAAAAGAAATCTGGAAAGAAACACCATTCCAGAAGATATTTGTTGGGAGAGCAGAGACGATGTTGAAAGACTGACTAACAAGCAACTTCGGCTTTATCCAAGGCAAGAAGGTCTAATGGTATCTGGAAACAAGGCACAATTGGTTGAGCGAATACTTAAGCATGCAGATGGTTCTGTAGCAAGAACATTTGATGAAGACATCGAAGATGATGATGAAAACATGCCCTCCAGTTCTCATGATGATACCTCAAGTGATTCTGAGGAGGAGTCAACCGAGTATGAAGGTGGTTGATCAGGCGACGATTATGTGGAGCCCAGCTTCCAAGTTTTATTTATTGATGATGCAGACACACCAGAAGTAGTGTAAAGGTAAAGAGGGATGTAGGGAGGATCGGAGGTTGGGGAGGGGGGGGGGAAAGTAATCTCCCCTCTAGACAGGGGTGGACAAGAAGTTATTTTAACTTTAATTCAGGGGGGTGCAACTTTATTTTAAGGCCTACTTTGCGAATTTTAGGACTCCCCTTCCAGATAATTATTGCACAGTCCCTAAATGAAGATATATGTGATTATACAAATGCACGAAATAAAAAAGTCAAAATCAGTTCCATTTATTTGGACTGACCAAACATTAACAAACCCTTAAATGTTGTCCGTTTTTGAACTGAACACTTACAATTTTTTATAATTATCTTGACGCTAAATCTTTGAAAATATCTTTGAATCCAGCAAGAATGGCATTGGTTTGCTCCATCTGCTTATTTTGCGCTTCACGAAACATTTCAGCTGACCTTTCGTATCTGGCGTTGTCTTCTTCCATACTGCGCTCCCACATTTCAAAAAACTTTGACTGCCATTCAGGAGCAACGCCACCATCTTTAACTTCTCGTCTCTTCCTTTTGACCTTACTTCGACTCTTTTCGTCTGTCTTTCTTTTTTCCCCGATGTCTGTGGCCATGGAAGGAGTTTCTTCAATTGAACTATTCATTGAGATTTCGGTTACATCTGCAGCTGCATTTGAAGCACCACTTTCACCATTTGCAAACGTTGTGCTACCCTCAATAGCCATTTTCGACGGGTCAACGCTATCGTGATGACCCATCACCTCATCAAAAAGATCGAAATATGGAAACCCACCTTTGATCGATTTTATTCCAGCTTCTCCAGTCGAACGAGTGCATTGTTTTAGTTGCTTGAATTCATACTCTAGATTCTTCTGGCGTTTTTTAACCTGAGCCAGGGTTCTTGTACTCCTCGGATGGCATTCTTTATACGTGGAGTAGATTTCATTCCACAAGGCTATTTTTCTCTCGCTGCGAAGCACTTCGAAGTTTCTCGTACTTGGGGCCCCATGCTTGTAAAAGATCAAAAGTTTCTTCTTCAGTCCAGTCGGCAGACTTGGCACGCGATTTATTTCCTTTGGCGGTGACATTCGTTACTTCAGAATCACTTGAAGCAGAAGAAGAAGAGGTGGCGTGCTCGCTGCAAGTGGAATCGGTGACTCTGTTCGACAGGTCACTATCCAGTTTGTAAACTGATTTGTTGGTTGAGGTTCAGATGGATGGTAAAATGACGTGTTTGCAGCTGGGAAAGGCCAATATTGCCCACTGATCAATGACTGTCCCGAGTTTTCTCTCGCAATCTGTCGATTTAAGTTATCGCTAAATGAACAAAAGCATTACATGAGTGAATGATTTCTTTTTAAGTCCTAGAGGTTTGAGGTCTGGTCAACTTACATGAGTCCTTGATCGAAATAGTCATCTCCGTTGTCCAAAACGCGGAAGTAAGACCTACGTTGATAAAAATTTGGGTTTTCCATGCTCTTTCCTTTGTTCGTAAACCTTGGCTCTGAAGTAAGCAATCGAGTGAGATGTGCGTGTCTTCAATTTCCCGCCAGATGCGAACGAGTTTGATTGATGTTTCAATTTCCTTATCTTGTTTTGATAAAGCGTAAGTAAACTGTAAGCCTGGTTGAACATGACTTGAAAGTGTACTTCGGCTAATGAAAATACATACAAGAATATGATTAAACTATGAAATGGTGTAATTCCTGCTGCTCTTTGAATAAGATATTTCGATAATTATTCTTAAAGGACTCCAGTGATACTGCATTTCTAAGGTCTAGACTTAAGCTGTTCCAGAGTTGGCAAGTACAAACTGCGAACTACCTACCGACTTCGGTGACCTGATTAAATTTTGGGCAAATAAAATTTATATTACTATATCTAGTTACACGACTATGTTGCTGACTGTGGAGTCTTAAGGAGTCTTCAATATATAAGGGAACTTCACCCTTGATGCGTTTATATGCCACACAACATTTAGCTATTTTCACTTCTTCATAAAAAGGAAGCCACTGTAGACTATTAAAAAGCTTAACACTAGACGCCTGATTATTGGCGTCAGAAATTACCCTTGCTGCTCTCTTTTGTAGCTTAAAAACACGCCTTAAATCCTCCTTATCACAACTAGTATAGATTGAACTGACATAATGCAATACAGATCTTGTCAAAGTATTATAATACAATAGCCTTTGTTTTGTGGGCAGGCAAGATCTTATCTTTTTTAATAGGCCACTTCGCTAAGACAGCTTTTTACAAAGTTTCTCCACGTGGGAAGTAAGTGACAGTTCGGAATCCATTTCGAGACCTAGCAGCTTAGCACTGGGAACGAGTTTGAGTTCAGTTCCTTTAATAGTTAAAGTCATTTCTTCATTGATCTTTGAGGGGAGACGCTTGCCAGTGATTAGCATAGCCTTGGTTTTACCGTCATTAATTGGCAGTTTGTTCGAAGCTGCCCAATCGACAATTTCGGCAATTGATAAGTTTAGGGTACCCTCTAGCCTTCCAATACAGCTATAGTTCGTACTGGAAGTCAGCGTTGTATCGTCGGCATACAAATCAATTCTTGATGAAGTGACGTAAAGCAGTAAATCATTGATAAAGACGATAAATAACAAGGGGCCAAGTATGGACCCCTGGGGAATACCATGACAAGCAATAGCGACACTTGACTGTTTATCTCCCAGCAAGTTGGCGTCTGTCCTTCAAATAAGAGGTCAACCATTGAAGGGAGTCCCTACTAATCCCATACATTTCAAGTTTCTTTAACAACAGGGTATGATCAATCATTTCAGACGCTTTACGATAATCTACCAAAGCCATTCCACTGCCACGGTCATTGTTGAGGTTGAATAGCAGATTGTCAATAATCTTGATCAAGGCAGTTTCAGTATTGTGCTTCGAGCGAAAGCTCGATCGTCAGATGTAGATTAAATCGTTTTCGCACAAAAAGCTGTAGAGTGCATTATGAACATGTCTCTCAGAAATGTTAGACAGAATGGGTAAAACTGATATTGGACGATAGTTTGTAACATCACTGGGGTCTACGCTTTTGAAGATTGGTGTTACCTTGACAGTTTTCCAACAACTGGGAATTAAACACGTTTAGAGAAAAAGATAGGCTGATCAACTTTGTGATTGAAGGTGCAATAATCGGAGCAGCTAGTTTTAGCATTCAAGAACTGATGCCATCGACACCAGTAGATTTATTGGAATCAATTTTCAAAAGATAGCCAACAACATCTGCTTCTGTTATAGGTGGAATTGAGAAAGCAGCACTTTCATCCTTCTGAGATCTTGCAAAGTTACTCAACTTAGAGGTGTCAAACAGCACGTCGGGTAACAGTTTTCTCAGCTTATCTGCAACTGTTGAGAAGTGTACATTGAATGCTTCAGTCATTTCTTCGTTATTTCCTAAATCTTTCTCTTTGATTCTTAGGTGGTTATTCGATTGTTGTTTATTGACACCGATAAGCAATTTGATGGTCTTCCAGATTCCCTTGGGGTTATACTTATTATTCTCGAAGGTAGTTTTAAAGAACTCGGACTTAGTTCTTCTCAATAGAAAATCTGCTTTATTCCGAGCTCTTTTGTAACTTTCCCAGTCAGCAGGAGTTTTTGATCTTTTTGCAATTTTTAGAAGCCTGTTCCCTCCCTTAGCCGCTTGATGACAGAACTATCTTACCCGGGCAATTTTTTGGCCTTTGCAACTCGTCTAACTCACCAATAACAATTCGAATCCAGAGCCGAATTAAAAAACGATTCCCATGAGGAGAGCATATCATCGATATCGTCAAAAACAAATATCGAGTCCCATGGGGTTCATTATGTGAAAAGAAATTATTCCCGGAAATGCGTAATTTTAGCGCTTAACCACTTGCTTTACATTCATAAATAAATAACAAATATTTAAAAGACCTCATTTAAATGCTAGCAGTTTTAAGCCCAACAAAACAAACAGGGGATATGTAAAATATTAGATGGTTTGCTGAAGAGTGGAGAGTTGACTGTATTCTTGACCCTTTTTTATTTGCATGCAAAAAATTATTAAACGAATAAATGCTAATTAAGCAAAATGTGAAACAAAATAAAGTACATGATCAACAAATCGTAGTGGCAAAATTACGACAACAAGCTTTTAAGCAATAAGAGTCAACTACCTTTTTGAATAAAAAGAACAATTTCTTTTTTAACTGCTATGGAAATAAATTTGGCAATGTTTACTGTGTATAAATGACAGAGCATCAAATTACTATGAAACAAATGCAAATTTTGAGATTTTTCCATTGTAACGATGACTTCTAAACCGTGTAGAGGTATGCAGTGTTTTTTGCTCGGCAGCTACGAGAAATAAAATTTGCTATCAGACTCAGCAGGGTTTGAAACGCAAAATGTCCAGACTTTTTTCCAAGCTCTTTCCAGGAAAGGTCTTCGCTCTTTCAAAATATTCTCCCGTTACTTTACGCTATTCTCCTGCTACTGTAATTCTTAATGAAACCTCTGCATGATCTTTGATACATAAGCGGGATTGGTATTTAGTAGGCACATTCATTGAGCAGTCCACTTTCTGCAAGAAATTGTTATTATTGTCCTATAAAACACCAAAGTCATGTACATTGTAAATATTAAGCCCTATTGAACAAATCACTGATTTACACTACGCTTACCACCATCTAATAAAGCATGTCACCAGTTGTTGTTTAAACAAGATTTGTTAGTAAGAAATTAGTAACAATAAAGTTTCTTTCCGTTTATTATAATTGCTGTATAAACAGTTAGTATCATGTAAAAATTATCCAGTTACATTAACCAAATATTAAAATAAACAGAAGTGGAAAAGATGTCAATAGATTTATATCAGACGTTTTTGAAGCCCTTTGCTAAATTTGCTGATTTTAGTGAATCAAGTGTACAACACTCTTTAATCCGGCAAAAACATTTCTGAAAGAACCAGAATCCTAGATTGACCAGAAGCAATTTTAGTGAAAGGGTGAATGTACATGGTGACACCAAATCAACTACTATCAACCAGCTACATTTTTGCAATGTTTTGTTGTAACAGAAGTGGTTATAGCTTTATACGGTGCATGAGGAGTATTGTATAGGGCTGTACTTTCTCTGCCTACCTTAAAGGAAAAAAACTAATATTAATGTTTTAAATAATATCTTCAACATACCTGTGAAGGTTTCTTTGCATACTCAGGTCTTTTAAAACATCCAGAATTTTCATCCCACATTAACCCGGGTCTCGACATTCAAGATGGTGCACAAAACCACAGGGAGAATCGCAAATAAAACCACTGGTGGATACTTCAGTGATGACAAACGAGATGACAAAATCCTCCAGTATGTCCTGGTACTTTGGAAAAACTATGGCAAGGAGTTAATCCAACAAGCGTCGAACCATAGGGTGCTTGAATATCAGCACACAGTTTGGCCTTTTGTGAAACAAAAGAAAAGACGATCATACAAATCATGGATAATAACAGTGACTGTTATTATTAGCTGGTAAATAACATATATTACCACTTGAAATACTAGTCTGTCACAGGGATCGGATTTAAATTCTTTAGGAAATATAACAAAGTGCAACTGAGTCAAAATTAACCGACTGATGTTTCCAAGTTATTTTTTGTCACTCAGAGCCCTTTCATCCGATGCATTGTGTAATTGGTCAGTATAAGATTTAAGAGGAATTTAAAAAAGGTTAGTGAAAGGAAGGTCTATAAATCCACAAATCTGATGTGGACATCGGGAGTCTAACATTAAACTAAATATATTTGAGAAGCTGACACTTAGGAGATGATTGCTTGAGGAAAAAAAAACAAAACAATTCAAAAATAATCTGCATAGCCATATTAGAAAATAAGAGGAAGAAGTTCTGAGGTGAAATCAGTATTTCCTTTGTTTGATGTAGTATTACTTTGTTTCCTAACCCTAATTATTCATTGGAGACAGAGAAATACTGACTAAACCTGTGAATGGATTTAACCTACAACATATCCACCACAAGCACTTACTTTTGACTTTGCACCTATAGGAATCTGACAATGTGAGGCAAGCTCTTTCAATATTTCAACATCATATTCTT